GGTCGTACTCTGGTAGTACTCGGTCGTACTCTGGTAGTACTCGGTCGTACTCTGGTAGTACTCGGTCGTACTCTGGTAGTACTCGGTCGTACTCTGGTCGTACTCGGTCGTACTCTGGTCGTACTCGGTCATATTCTGGTCGTACTCGGTCGTACTCTGGTAGTACTCGGTCGTACTCTGGTAGTACTCGGTCATAATCTGGTCCTCTGGTCGTACTCGGTCGTACTCTGGTCGTACTCGGTCGTACTCTGGTAGTACTCGGTCGTACTCTGGTCGTACTCGGTCATAATCTGGTCTTCTGGTCGTACTCGGTCGTACTCTGGTCGTACTCGGCCATATTCTGGTCGTACTCTGGTCGTAATCTGGTCGTACTGTGTGTGTTGGGAACTCACCGGGATGACGAGGTAATGTTTACTCCTCAGCTGGAAGCACAGAGTCAGGACGAAGCACTGCTCGTGCTGCTGGCTGTCCCTGATCAGGAACATGCTGCACAAAAACACACATCGTTGGTTAAAAACTGAGCAGGAACACTCGTCACCCACTGCCTCTCAGGCCAGACCCTCAACTAACATCCTCAGGATGAGAAACTAAACATTTCGTTCAACTCTGAGCACAATAACCCCAYCAGATACTGTGAAATCAGTTCATCTGAGAGTTTTACTCAGATCTGTCYAGWTGTCATGAGATATTTTGCTAACAGACAAACACCATGCCTTTTATAACCATAAAGGATGACTAATAAGACTTGTATAGGAAGTCTTCCTGAATAAAACCTCACCCATCCACCAGCCCCTGCTTCTCAATCAGCCGCTCCGCTTCTTTTCTGGATGTGCCGCCATGAAACCAGGGCTGGCTGCTGTGGACGGCTGCAAACAGAAGGAAAAAAAAACGACGTGGTTTTTGTTGTTTTGTGTTTAATAAAGACGTGTGTGGACCTGGACTCACAGGAAGGCCTGGCAGCAGAGTTCACGTTAGGCAGGCTGCACCTCAGGGCTTCTCTCCTCTGTCAGAGAAAAGACAAAAACCAAACAGCAGTAAAAGGTCAGCGAGTGTCAGAACGGTTCAGGGTCAGAGTGTCTGATTCTGATCCCAAAACCTTTCTTTAGAGWCAAGCTTCAGATAAAAATCAGCACAGATCTTTAAATAAAAACACGTTTCTAACAATTTCTGCAGCTTGTGATCAAACAGTTTGGTRAGAACAGTGCGTGTCAAACTYAAGGCCCGCRGRCCAAATGTGGCCTGCCACAGCATTTTTTGTGGCCGTATTGTCTTTAAAAATCTGCTTTRAAGCCTGYATTGACCATAAACTACATCTCCCATAATGCATGTTGATTATGCTTCTAAAGAAATGACAGAATCCCACCACTAGGTGGAGCTGCGCAGGGTACAAGGTGAAATTTGCCGGGTAGAGTCTACATTTTCACCTGCTACTTTTGGTGTATTACTGGGAAGTGGGAATTTCCCAGTTWMAAGTTTCAAATTTAAACTGGAACTCCCCTCCAGTGTCAGAAAGTGGTAGAGTTAAAAATTCAAGATGGTGGCTACTGTTCACAACAAGTTAAATTCTTGTGTTTTACTTTTGATAGTATTTCTGTAGTATTTATTTCACATTTAGTCAGTTGTGCATGTAGTACTTTTCTGTTTTTATAAGAGAGTGTGTTAAAACACTGTTTCTATGCAGGTAATACCAGGTAGAGCTCAGTTAATGTTAGTGGAGCTCAAGAACGTGACGTTCCCAGTTTAGTCTAGATTAAACATGAAACGTTGAAGCTCATGTGAGCCTCGGTGAAAACGAGTTTGACGCCCCTGATCCAGAGCGAAGATATTTACTAAAATCTCAGAACAGAACCCTCTTCGACCCGGTTCTGCTGGATAAATCTCCTCACCCTCCAGGACTGGCCCTCCTCCACCTCTGCGCTCTGAGCCTCCGTCGGGTTCTGGATGACTCGACCTCCAGCTTTTCCTGAAAAGTCCATGGCGACCAGCATGTCCTCGGACTTGGCCTGAACGACACACACACACACATATATACACACACACACACACACACACACACACACACACACACACACACACACACACACACACACACAC